ATCCAATTTTGTTTGCCAGTGATACGTAGTGTATTCGACTAGATCTGGATAAGACCGTGCTCTCAAAGAATACCAGCGTAAAATGGCAGCTCAATGCTGCTATATTTGGTGTGGTAAGTGTAGAGAACCGGAGCCTCTTGTAGTTCTAGATTCACACGCGTAGAGCGTGCGACTCTAACAGCTTCTCTTTTGGACTAAATTTGATCCTGACTGGCCCGAGGACTTGGTTGATATCTCTCAACAACTGTGATATCGTCTGAATACCCATAGATACAGAGCGTAAGCATATAATTAATATGCAGCAGGAAGTGAGTTGCGTAGAGAACAGACCCCTGAGGAACACCGGCGGTAGTCGCCATAGGATCGGATGAGCAGCCATCGATGACAACCTGGAGAGACCGTTCACTCAGAAAGTCCTTTGCCCATTCAATCAGACCAGCGGATAAGCCGTACGCTGGCAGCTTACCTAAAAGGCTAGTGTGCCAAGCTCTGTCAAAAGCCTTCAAGACATCAAGGGAAACAGCAAGTGCTTCCCCACTGTTATCGAGTGCCTCGCCCCATATGCGTGTGGCAAACGCTAGAAGGTGCCCAGCTGACCAAACCCAAAACCGGCGAAACCCATATTGCCGGTCACTAAGGAGGTCATTCTGTTCTAGGTATGCCATTAAGCGGGCATTCAGTATATGCTCCATAGTCTTGCAGAGTATGGAGGTAATTAAGATCGGCCGATAATTGGTAGGATCGGCACGGCTACCTTTTTGGAACAGGCTGCACGTTGGCCAGCTTCCAGGATTTTGGCACTATTCCAGTCCTAAAAGACAGGCGGAACAAGCGTGTCAACACAGGAGACAACTCAGGTGCACAAGCCTTTAGAACTATAGCTTGTATGCCATCTGGTCCACTAGCTTTATTCACGTTTAGACACCGCAAGGTTTTAAGAACCTCCTTATTTGTTATACAAATCTCCGACATAGAGATCCCGCAGTGAGGTAATTTTGGTGGAACGTTGTTGCCACTGTCCAGACGTGAATTGTAGGCAAATAGAGACGCGAACAAGTTCGCTTTCTCTTTATCCGTATGCGCCAGTGTGCCATTCGGTTTTACCAGCAAATGCAGTGTAGGCCGACAGACGTTTGTCTCGACCGCTTTGGCGAGAGACCAAAAAGCTCTAGGACCGAATGGTCTGGGAGTGTTTTGCGCCAATATGTTTAATGCGATGGAGACTAGCTTTCCGTAATGCTTTTGTTGTAGGAATTGGCGGTCTGGTTGAAAGTTCTCTACTTGGAGCTAATATCCGGAGTTTTGCGTCAACCCAGGATAGGTAAACTAAATGCATGCGCTTTTCAGCTTGGGCGCATTCAGCTGTAAACCATGGGTGAGCTATGCTACCGGTGGGAGCGTCAGAGAAGGGGATAAAATACTTCATAGCTTGATGCAACACATCCGTTATGGCAACTACGCACCTCGATGGATCTGCAGAAGAGAAACGGACCTCCCACCAAGGATAAGATGCAAAAAAGTGTCGCATATCATCCCAATCAGCTGACTTATACAGCCATATTCGTCAAACACCTTGGGACTCGTAATCAGGTGGAGAATATGACGATACAGATTTCACCAGACAGTGGTCAGATGTATCCAAATGGGAAGTAACCTGTACTTCATATATGTCTGGTTCGGTAGTCAGCAGAAGGTCCAAGCAATTTGCTGTGTGACCGTTTACATCGGGTACCTTAGTCGCCACCTTTACCATCTGAGAAAGACATAGCATCAAAGCAAAATTCCACGCTTCTCTTCCAGCATGGTCGGTCTTTTGGTATGGGAACAGCCAGTCTTGGTGACAAGCGTAAAAGTCCTCCAGAAAGAACAACTGTGCAGTAGGATACCGATTTAGGGCCACGTCAGCAGCCTCACTAAGGTGAGCAAATAATCGTGTTGTCTCCTGGTAACCGCTGTGCGATCGATAGACACAGGATTAAAGGATTTTATCAATACCTGTATCTACCATCACCCAGATTGTCGTAAAAGTGGAGTCTTCAAGGTGAAAGAGACGCTGGAAGCAGATGTCATTGCTGACGGACGTACTCCGGCACGTGGATGGAATTTGTGCTCCAGGGGGAATCCAGGATAGTGAAGGGACGCCGCACTCAATGTACATCTAATTTGCGTCTCTGTCAAGAAAAGTAGGTTCGGCTTTTCAGTCTCATGGTGATGGACTGTGCAGAGATTAGAGTGCAATCCTCGAATATAAGTTAATCGCACTTTTAGAGAGAGGACTTGCAATCGCTGTTTAACACTAATTTTCTTTTTAATGCGCATATTAAGTGTTGAGTGTGAATAGGGATGGAGAATGGCAGTTGAGCGAGGCGTTGCATTAGCAACCAAACGATACTATTAGAGTTATTATGCCCATGGGAGCTTGATTTGGATACTGCGGGGACGCCCGGAAACCCCCCCCCCTCCAGAGATCGCCATTGGATCTTCTCGCCCGGTCACTAACCGGCACAATGGGGCCACCCTGGGATTTTTCGCCACTTGTCTTCAGGTGGACTGTGTGCTTGCTTGTCACCCTCATTCGGTAAAAATGAAAAAATAGCTGTCTGATAAATCAACAACTAAATTAAGCTAGGTAGGCACCTAGCTTACTTTCTATGGTACTATATAGATCTGCAGCCAGACTAAAACTAATTAATTTTGCAAAACTAAGCGATACGGGTAATATATAGGATAATTGACTCCTCTCCACGACTCCTAACCACCTAAACTCGCGAGTCGCTATACGACCTATTTAAGGGGGCTAACATTTTGACACATCCGTCGGAAAATCTATGAGCGTATCATCCTCAGCCGTCTGAAGGATGCAGTGCTAAATAAAAATCTAATTCTTAACGAGCAGTTTGGCTTTCGAGCCAAACACTCTAGTGCTCAACAGGTGCACCGCCTCACGGAGCACATATTAGATAAGGCTGCAAATGCGAACAGGCGCCCTGTTTACACAGGAGCACTGTTCTTCGATGTGGCCAAGGCTTTCGACAAAGTCTGGCACAACGGATTAGTTTTCAAAATTATCCATACAGGGGTGCCCTTAAGACTTGTCAAAATCGTTCAAGATTTTCTTGCAAATAGATCCTTTCATTTTCGCTTGGAGGGTACATTTTCCTCTTCCAGACCAATCAGAGCAGGAGTTCCCCAGGGCTCGGTGCTCTCCCCAACCCTATACTCACTTTACATAAGTGACATCCCTTCGTTAATAGGTACTCATCTCGCACTATACGCGGATGATACTACCATCTATTCTTCAGACACTCGCGTCATTATATTCTGCAGTCGACTCCAAGCTGCAGCAAACGCTCTAGGCGATTGGTGCAGAAAATTGAGAATCGAACTGAACTCCGATAAGAGCAAAGCCATCTTTTTCTACAGAAGGTGTTTTTATAACACCTTATTGGCACAGGTTAAAAAATAAAAAATGGGTCTATTTCCCTCTACGGCAGCCCAATACCATGAGTCCGAGAGGTAAAATACCTGGGGGTGACCTTAGATTGTGCAATGAGCTTCTCTCAGCACATTACAACAGTTAGAAACAAGGCAAAATTCGTTGTATATCATCTCTTCGCCTTAACCAACAAACGCAGTAAGCTGTCCCTAAGACACAAACTGCATCTCTACAAAACCTGCGTACGTCCTATTATGACATACGCGGGTGTGTCCTTTGCTCACGCCTCCAAAACGAGTCTAAAACAACTTCAAGTTGTTCAAAACAAATTTCTGCGTCACATCACAGGAGCTCTCTTCTATGTGAGGAACGCGGATCTTTACCGCGACCTGGATATGCCCACTATACACACGTATCTTAAGGGACTATCCTTAAGATACTTCGATTCGATAAAGGAACACGAAAATCCGTTGATGAATGAGGCGGGCTCGTACTCCCCACTGAGGGATGTTGCCCCCCGCAGGAGACGTCCCAAGAACGTTCTTCTTGATGCCGGCGACGAGATCACTTCCATGAATAGGTCGATCCCCCCCCCCCCCCTCCACAGGAGAGTCAACTAGTTTAGTAACCATAAACACTCACACACACTCAGACACTACTCTAATACAGAACACTAGGGCACACCGCATTCGCCGGCGAATGCGTCGTCACAGACACTCCGTACACTAGGTTTAACACCCGTGATACGGGGCGTTTCTAACTTTTGCGACTCGTTAACAAAATTGCGATAACGATTCAAGCCGAGGTTCGTACCTCCTTCTGAGGGGCCCTTGAATCGCATCGAGCCCCCCCCCCTAGCTCGAGGAGCCTCTCTCCGAAAGCAGGGGTCGTGGTGCCTCGGCATTTTAGCATTTTGATTCTTAATCAAGGATGAATATAGATATCTATGGGCCACAGCATGCAGTTACGTTAAGTGGACTCGCTTGTCACCAAATTCTATAATTTAAAAAAAAAAAAACTGTAAATAAAAAGAGTTTATATTACTATTAGAGTTGTTTACGACCGGCGATCGTCGCCAAGCATTCGTGTATACAAAATCCCGACGCCAATATGGAGCACTCCTCCGTCGTTACGAGCTTGATGTAGGAAATATCGAAGTGGTCTTTATTAAGGTAATATTTATTAAATATATTTTGCATACAAGAATTAAATATTTATTTTAAAGAAGTTATAATAAGCGTTTGCTTAGTATTTTTATTTATTTTTACGCTACTCTTTATCTTCTAAATAGTTATAGGTGATACAGCGAAAGATAACTTAGCTTTACAAAAACCTATTTACATTTACCTTTAAAAACACCAACATTGTAATCGGATCAAAAGACAGATGCTGACAAATAATTCCACTCCTATGTTGTTTCCGTTACAAATGACGAAGTAAATCTTTTGGTTCGAATGTGGGTTATGTTGACAACAAAGGAAGCTGCAGCTTGGGAGCTCCGGGATTAAGCTCGGAGGAATAGCAACGATTGCAATAACGATATGGAGAGACTGCTCACATCCTATTGAAGGCTTTCGAAACATCACGAGAAACAGAAATTACATTCCCGTTCTTCCCTAAAGACTCGCCCTATATGTGAGTAGTATACGTTAGAAGGTATCTTGGCGACTGATCATGGCAGAACCCATTCGTTCGTAGAGTAGGTCATTCTGGTTTAGGTATGCCATTAGATGGGCGTTAAAATAAGCTCTATAATCTTATCATAGTATAGAGGTAACTGCGATTGGTCGAGTTTCTCGCGAACTGTGAAATGACGATGACCGCTTAGCCTTTGAGCTACATAGCGCAGCTATGAGATATATAATTATTAATACTTTTCTACTTTTATTTATTTCTTTTTGTGGGATTGTTTGCAGGAAACTGTACCAATAAGAGCGCATTCTGTTTCTCTTTTTGTTATACTAATCTATTCTTGGTGTACAGTTAAGGTTATTTTAATTGTATATATAAGATATGTATAACGTAATATACCTAGTAAGGTCATAAGTATTGTCACACAGTAAAAACTTTTTTTTTAGAATGCTGGCCACAAAAAAGTTTATTGAATTCGAATTTAGAATTGTTTATGAAAATAAAACTGTATACTTTTTAAAATTTTACTCATTTTTAAATATGGAGTGGACGCTTAAAGAAGACTGTGTTGCAGTTATTGCGTTGCATCGTTGCGGTTACGCGCCATTTCAAATTTTTGACATACTGAAAAATTTGAATATAACCAAAAGATTCGTTTATCGTACCATCAAACGATACAATGAAGACTCTAGTGTAGATGACAGGTCAAGAATTGGTCGCCATCGGTCTTTTAGGACTCCAGCAGTGATAAAAGCTGTGAAGGCGCGAATTCAAATAAATCCCAAACGTAAGCAGAAACTGTTGGCCCTTCAAATGGGGTTAAACAGAACCACGGTGAAAAGGTGTTAAATGAAGACTTAGGGCTTCAGGCATATCGAAGAAAAACAGGACATTGTTTGAATGCTCGTCTAATGGACCTGAGACTGAAGAGATGCCGCGCTTTGTTGAAGCGGTACGCGGGAAAAAAATATCGGGAAATTCTTTTTTCGGATGAAAAAATTTTTACCGTAGAAGAGAGCTACAACAAACAAAATGATAAGGTGTACACACACAGTAGTGAAGAAGCGAGCAACCGTATTCCGCGTGTCCAACGAGGTCATATTCCATCCTCGCTCATGGTATGGTTGGGAGTTTCTTATTGGGGCTTAACAGAGGTATATTTTTGTAAGAAAGGTGTAAAAACGAATGCAGTTGTGTATCAAAATACAGTCCTGACGAACCTTGTGGAACCTGTTTCTCATACCATGTTCAATAACAGGCACTGGGTATTCTAACAAGATTCGGCGCCAGCTCATAGAGCGAAGAGCACACAAGACTGGCTGGCGGCGCGTGAAATCGACTTCATCCGGCACGAACCCTCCTCCAGTCCAGATTTGAATCCGTTAGATTACAAGATATGGCAACACTTGGAGGAAAAGGCGTGCTCAAAGCCTCATCCCAATTTGGAGTCAATCAAGACATCCTTGATTAAGGCAGCCGCCGATATTGACATGGACCTCGTTCGTGCTGCGATAGACGACTGGCCGCGCAGATTGAAGGCCTGTATTCAAAATCACGGAGGTCATTTTAAATAAACTTTAGTGTCATAAAAATCTATGTTTTGTTAAGTTCATTTTGGTATATAAATGGTTACATAATGAATAAACTTGTTTCAATTATTTTATATTAAACATGTGACAGAATTTATGACCTGATCTATGTGCTGTAAGGTAACTATACTCCTATAAAACTTTTACTCCAAATATAGAAAGCTTTTTGCTCTTGTTCTGACTTCAAAAAATATTTTCTGCTAACACTACACTGTCATTAATTTCATAGCACGCTTTTAGTCTAGTCGAATTTATAGAGAGAAAGGTACACTTTTTGCGATAAATATTTAGGCAAACTTTTATTTTTATGCTACAAAAGACTTTTTGATTGTCACTTTAGTATTATAAAATTAAAATTTAGAATTAGGCATAATAAACGTGCCACGAGGCAGCTTTTGCTATCGCACGGATGGGCCGGCTCGAAATGGGCTGGGACCACGACTTCACAGTATATCAGCGTGAATTAGAAGTTTACTTCTGCATCTCGCCTGGTGAGTGCAAGTGGCCGGAGGTCCAATCTCCCCCCACCCCCCTATCACCATGGTAGCGGAATTAAAGATAAGACTACTCCAGGAGGGTACCATCCCTCCCTGTAGCTGAGCATCCACGCCCAAGCTCCCTACTTTTTGAGCGTAGGTGTTCAGGCTGCCTCGCATATATTTGGCGGGAGCAAAATTCCGCTCAAGACGAAACTTGCTTGGGGCAAGCGGAGAAATAAGACAAAGGCAAGCCTTGCCACGCTTTCCGAGAATTTCTGCAATATCAAGGGACTTCATTCAAACCTTCCACTACCATCTGGAGACGGCAAAGCCGGCCTTGCTCTTTCTAACCGAGACACAGGTGTCCTCTCCGGCTGATACTTCGGACTATCTCTCCTACCCAGGGTACAAATTGGGACACTCCTTTGTGCCCGGGGTGGAATTTGCGTGTACGTCAGAGAGGACATCTTTTTTTGATACGTTGGCAGTCTTGAAGGTACGGACCTGTCCATCCCATGGCTGCGCGTAGACAGCGACGACCATACCCGCGTCTACGGGTGCCTCTAAAGGTCCCATAGCATTAATTCCGACACAGACCGACTCATCGACCACGTTCAAATGGCTACAGACTCCGTGCTACAACAGGTCCTATGGGCAGAGATCGTGATGCTCGGTGATTTTAACGCCCACCACGCTGAATGGCTTTGTTCCCGTTAAACCGATCATGCGGGTAGATATGTTTATGACTTTGCCTTGGCATATTGTCTGACACAAATGGTTACTTCGACTATGCGGATCGCAGATGTGTAGGTTCATGCTCCTTCCCTGTTGGACCTTCTACTGACCTCTTATACGGAGGGATATCAGATCTCCTCTTGGCTCTTCGGGCCATTGTCTGATCCAGAGTACGGTGCCACTCACGCTCTTATCGCAGTTGCGATCTGCAGTCTGCCGCCGTGTTTGGCACTATAGGTCAGCCAATTGGGATAGGATGCGGTCTTTTTTTGCATCCTACCTTTGTGGGTGGGTTTCTTCCCGCCGGATGATCCTTACGTTGTTTCTAATTTTGTCGCTCATGTGGTACTTCAGGTAATGGAATTATTTATTCCATTATCTGTGATGCCTATCAGAGGTAGAACTCAGCCATGGTTTGATCGCCCTTGTAAAATTGCTTTACGCTATAAGCAGCGGTGCTAGCGGGCCTGGGCTGACGCATCAACGTCCCGGGATGTAAACACCAGCGCTCTTAAAAAGAAGTATTATTCCGCCTCCAGGTCCTTCAAAATTGTCATTTTCAAGGCAAAGTCAGAGCGCATCGGCAGCATTGACGAGAAACTAGTTCGCCTCCCTTCGGGAACACGTGAATTCTGGTCTCTTGCCAAGGCTGTCCAAGGGAACTTCTGTCAGCCTTCTCTGCCATCTGTGCACAGAGTGGACGACTCACTAGCTCATGACGCAAAGAAGAAAGCCGATGTGCTAGGGTCTCTTTTGACTCACTGGCACTGCGTTGAGATGTTGCATGTCTTTGCGTATTTTATCGCATCTATCACGGGAAGTGCTGATGAATTGTTCGAACTAATTCCAAATTCCCAATTTCACCATCGCACATCACGATACAACTCGCGATACCATCCATACCATCTGGATGATTGGCGGTCCACTACCGTGCGATTTAAAAGAAGTTTTCTTCCTCGTACGTTGGTGTGAAATCGATTACCACCAGAGATTTTTCCGGACCGATACGACTTAGGGACCTTCAAGTAAAGAAACTTCTGCTTTTTAAAAGACCGGTAACACATCTGCAATTCCCTTGTTATTGCAGTTGTTCATGGGCGGCGGTAGTCACTTACCATCAGATGAGCCGCATGCTCGTTTGCCCCCTCTCCTAAATAAAAAAAAACCTTATGTCATCCCGAGGTTGTCGTAAAGGCGATAGAGGAAAACAAAATGAAAAGTGTTCATCAGAATTATGCTGATACTCGTAACATCTCAAAATGTTGAAAAATCTGCAGTTGAAATATTCACACTATGGGTATGGTGAGGGACGCCTATGTTAACTTTTGATAGGCTTCAATAATGATAAATTATTAATGATTTACCTTATTACATGTAATGTTTGATTTTAACCCGACTCTAGTATTGAAATTCTTTATTGAGTTCCTTACTAAGCAGGAAAAAATATTCTTGCTGAGATTTTTTCAGTCCAAGATATCTATTCCTTTGAAACCAATCCTTTACATGTTAGAGTCATGCTGCAGAGTATTACGATTGTAGAACTATCAACCGGGGAACAACCACGGACCATTCTATTTAGTCGTCATGGCATATTACCCGTGTGCGTAGGATTCGTGATTCGAAAATTTTTGGACCAAGGAATAAGTTTTGGGTCGGATTGTTATTGGAGATAAAAGTACTGTTCATCGTTATCAGTCTAAATCGAAGCAAAACTCGGAGCAGTAGCACTATACATGAAACTACTAAGACATAGTCTGTACAATAATGAAAGCCCCGACTTCAGAAGCTTTTATTAGTAAATTAACTTATTACTTTTACTTCTTTTAAGCCGGCTTTTACTTTTAATTGAAGGTTGAATTCTTACCATTTTGAGTAGACTAAGGATATATATCACAAACTCAAGGTAACAATTAGCGTATCGTCCAATAAATTCATATGAGACAACTCTTGAAGTATAATGTATTTTATAAAAATATAATTATCAAAATCGGCTCACGACTGAACAAGTTAAATAGTAATAATAATAAATATTAAACGTGCCATTAACAGTGAACAGCTAATAAGCGGATAGAATTCTAATAAAAATAATATTTTATTTATTTTTTTATATTAATTTATTTATTTTTTAAAAAAATATTTATTTCATCTGCCAGTCAACCCGTGGAGTGATCAGATTTTGTGGCAGGTGCAAATACACACACACACACACACACACACTCATATATATATATATATATATATATATATATATATATATATAAGTTGCAGTGGAATTTTTAAGGTATTCTATTTTCATATTTAAAATTTTTGATTTTTATGTCAGTTCCGAGCAGTCCATATACTTGTGAAAATAAAATATTCTTGTTTCTAATTTATATAGAGCGGGCCTTGTAACTCTATGTAGCATTCATCATTTATTTGCTATGACTAATTACGTCTTTTAATTTCTTTGACATAAAAAAACGAAGTCATAACTACCAACGCACAAAGGAATCCAAATCATACTTATAAAAAAATATTGGTAAATCCAATTATTCATGCCTTATGCACATTTAAAAATTACACATAACATGATTAAAGGTAAATTTTAGATTAGTTTAATTACACACAATTTTTCACTAAAAACTTTATAATTATTACTATACTTCCAATTTTCCCATAATTTTATGACAAATTTCAATTTACAAAATAGTTTGGAAAATTCAAAAGTGCACTCATAATGCTCATATGATCGTGAAAGAAAATGTAAATTGTAGTACTATTCATCAAAGATTTCCTTAGTACACCTTCAAGTCACTCCATCAAGTCCGGAGATAAGGTCTGTTCTTAACTAACAAAACGAGCACAAACTTGGGACACCTAGTTCTCCTCGTCGAAATGTTTCAGCAGCAATCATCAAATTACATCTTTACGTCACTTTCAAGTCCGGAGGTAAGGTCTCATCATAACTAACAAAACCTAGTTCTACTCTTCGAAGGGTTCCAGTATCATTCACTGAAGTACACCTTCAGGTCACTTTATCGAGTGCGGAGATAAGGTCTCATCATAACCCACAAAACGAGGCCAAACTTGACACACCTAGTTCTATTCTTCGAGGAGTTCTAGTAGCATTCACCAAAATACACTTTCAGGTCATTTTATCAATTCCAAATGTAAGGCATTATCACAACTAACAAAACGAGGCAAAACTCGGTACACGTCGTTCTACTCTTCGAGGAGTTCCAGTAGCATTCACCAAAATACACTTTCAGGTCATTTTATCATTTCTAAATGTAAGGCATTATCACAACTAACAAAACGAGGCAAAACTCGGTACACGTCGTTCTACTCTTCGAGGAGTTCCAGTAGCATTCAACAAAGTACACTTTCAGGTCATTCTATCAAGTCCGAAAGTAAGGTCTCATCATAACTAATGAATCAAGACCAAACTCGGCACACCTTGTTCTACTCGTCGAGGAGATCCAGTAGCATTCACCAAATTATACTTTCAGGTCACTCTATCAAGTCCAGATTCAACAGTGGTAGAGCCACACGACAGCTTTTGCTGTCGCACGGATGGGCCGGCTCGAACCGGGGTGGTACCACGACCTCACAGAAAACCAGCGTAAAGTAGAGGTTTACCTATGCGTTTCGCTTGGTGAGTGCAGGTGGCCGTAGGCCCTTTTTACTGGAAATGAGGCATTTCATCTAAGTCCTCACGGGTGACAACGCATCTACATTTTAATTTGTAATAGAGGATAGATGTAGATGTTTATGGGCCGCAGCAACCACTTACCATCAGGTGGACTGTGTGCTCGTTTGTCACCCTTATCCTATAAAAAAAAAGACATAAGCTCTCATCATAACTAACAAAACGAGGCCAAACTCGGCACACTTAGTTCTACTCTTCGAATACTCGTAGTTCCAGTAACATTCACCAAAATACACCTTCAGGTAATTAGATCAAATCCGGAGATAAGGTTTCATCATAACTAACGAAACGAGGCCAAGCTCGGCACACCTAGTTCTACTATTCGAGGAGTTCCAGTAGCATTCACCGAAGTACACTTTTAAATTTCAGGTCATTCTATCAAGTAAGGAGGTAAGGTCTCATCGTAATTAACCAAACGAGGCCAAACTTGGCACATCTAGTTCTACTCTTCGAGGAGTTCCAGTAGCATTCACCGAAATACACTTTCAGGTCATTCTATCAAGTCCGGTGGTAAGGTCTCATTATAACTAAAAAACGAGGCCAAACTCGGCATACCTAGTTCTACTCTTCGAGGAGTTCCAGTAGCATTCACCGAAGTACAACTTTAGATCACTCCATAATTTCCAAGACGTATCATCATCATCATCATCATCATTACAGTCCTTCACAAGTCCACTACTGAACATAGGCCTCCCCCAAGGAATGCCACATAGCACGGTCACGAGCCACCTGCATCCCATGACTTCCCGCATGTCTTATCAAGTCGGGACGCCATACACTTCGTCTGCCGGTATATATAAGAATATATATATATATATATATATATATATATATATATATATATAAATCCTATGTACTTTTAGCGAAACTAAATATTGTTATAAAAATATGTGATTATAAAAATAATAACCGTGGTCAAGTATTTATCAAATTTGGTATTTGGAATATTTTTTATTACAATGATCGATACTTTTGCTGCCTATTACCGCTGCTATAAGCAAAAGCTACAGTAATCCACTTACGACGACGGCCGACCGCGGAGTGAGGCAGAGCAGAGCAAAGTGTATTTATGTATATATATAAAATAAATTATTACAAGGCTGCTCAAAATACTAAAAATTTCGAGATTTTAGAGCTGAGAAAACATTATAACTAAACAAAACAAAATTAAACTGCTATTTACATTCCATGGCTTTCCACGTGACAGATGAAGAGATTAAAAAATAGATTGAAATAAACAATTTATATTTATAAAGTTATCGTGTTTACCACTCCATGCGGACTTGATAAATCTACACCATAAGCCACTAAAACCACTTTTTTTAATTTAAAAATAGCAATAAATCGATTTATAAAAAACATTAATAAGTTCAACAATCATTTATCTTTCTGACAATATGCCTTTTATATCATTTATAAGTTCAATATGAATGTTAGATACAATTTCATGCGACAAAACGTTAGAATCTTGATTTTTAGGCGCTAGTAGAACATATCTACGCGTTTTGCGCATAAGTCATGCAAAACACTCCCGTAATAATTAACCTGAACAGAGGCAGGGGTGAATCTTTTTTATTCTTTTTGTAAAGCCGTCTTCGTTCTTACATTAATTTTTCAATTTTATAGAAGGATATATTTTGCTATGATTTAAGTGACGTGACTGCCATATATAGCTGCAGCATAGCTCTGCCACGTAGAAATCTGTTCAAAGTATCAGACTGAATCTAAGCAAGACTCGGAGCAGTAGAATAAAATATTAAACTACTCAGACTACTTAGTACTCAGTGTAGAAGAATTAATGACCCGACTTCACAAGCTACGAGTATTAGACTAAATCTTTCTGGTATATCCTTTAGGCAACTAAACGATTCCCATGATATGAAATGTGGCTATGGAATATCTTAAGCTGCTACCACAAGTCATCTGCAAAGGGTGCAACTGTTACTCATAAATCACCAATAAATCACTAAGAAAATTACAAATGTCTTTTTTTTCTTAAGAAAAAAACGTTACAACACACAAGAATCCGTTCCCAATATTTTGTTTCAGTTTCCCTCTATCATCTCTTGAGACATTCACGAAATGATATTGTGACGCCTCATAATTATTATTAATAAATAATAATTAAATTCATTATGAAGACATTTAAATATGTCAAAGAAATTATAGTTTAAACAATTAAATGCAAATAATAAGCATAAAGTTCAAATATATTCATTTGGAATATTGAATATTATAGTATTGGTAAACGCATAAATTCTCTCTAAAAATCTCTAAATTTATTAAAATTCTGCTTAAAATATTCAAAATGTACTAAATCATATAAATACAAGTCAATCATATTGCAATAATAAAGATAAATAATATTTGTAATATAATAGAAAAATGGATCAAAATTTTCTAAGTTGATGAAGGTGTTCTTAATATAATCGGTAAATTTCTAAGTTTATGAACGTGCTCTTGTAATGTTCCCTTATATGGGGGCGTTGCCGGAGACGCATACCCAAGGTTGTACATATATATGGGGTGGTCGGCTGACCTACTGCTAGCACTAAGGTTGCACAATGACTAGTCCTATATTAGGGACTTATTATAGTAAGGTTTTTCTATGGGAGGCACAATGCGGATTTAGACCTGGAAGAGGATGCACGGATCAAATGTTTTCTCTCCGTATGATCACGGAAAAGCTTCTGGCTGTTAACCAGAAGATTTTCTGTGCTTTTGTGGATCTTGACAAAGCATTTGATAAGGTTGTAAGGAAGAAAATGTGGGAACTGTTGCCGGGGTATGGTGTGGATGGCCGATTGCTAAGGGCTGTGCAGTCTCTTTACTGTGACTGTAAAGCCTGTGTGCGGGTAGGGCATGACCTGTCACCCATGTTTAGCGTCCAAACGGGCGTAAAACAGGGTTGTGTCATGTCTTCCTGGCTGTTCATACTGTATCTCGACAGCTGTTTACAAAAGCTGAAAGATAGCTGTTTGGGTGTGAAATTGGGTTTAGATGTGGACAGGCGTGTCGCTGCCGGGAACAAAGTCAATGGTGCCCTGACTGCGTTAGTCAAA